TCCTCTCTTTCCCACCCTCCATACTTCCATCCATTTCTCCTGCAGAAGAAGCAGATATATAAATCTGAAGTGCAGTTGTATGTGAAAGCCTTTGCTTATTCTCTTAGCTCTGTGAGTCACTAATCAGCCTTGTGTTCACAGCTATGCTCCCTTTGGAGTGCAGAAAGGTGCTGTGACCTAAACTTTCCCTCTTTGCACCTTCTGTTGCACATGGAAACTGTGTCCTCTAACACTTACTAAGGCCAGGTGCCCAGCCAATGGCTTTTGACTGTGTGCCCATACAGATTTCCTTGGCTTTTGTAATTTGTTCTTCTGGTTTTAGCTTTTAAATCCATCATCACGACTGGCATGGACATCCTGGCTTACCCATAACTACTCAAGCCCTGTGCCAGCAGTATCACTTTTGTAAAGCACCTTGAGATGCATGCTATGTAAGGAGCTGTATATATCCCATTGGAGTAATCTGAAGGAATAATCTGGAAGCAGAATTTACTGTCTGAAACATGTGGACACATGGTCTCTTGTTATATCATGCTTTGCAACCAGTTAGAGCTATAGATTTATTCCTGCATTTTTCTGTGTTAAACTGCTTCTGTTGCAGGAACAGGAAAGGAAAGAGAATACTAGACACATGGTTTGTACCTTCAGGGATATTCACATGACCTTTGTGCCTCCTTCTTTTTGGAAGGCATCCTGGGAATAACACCAGGGATTAAATTAACTCTGGTCTGTTACCTCATTTCGAAATGTGGGAGAGACTAGTGCTGCCTGAAGGAAACAATCTCCTTCCCCTTGCCTTCCCCCAAGAGCAGAATAGGATCACACCATATGTTATGAATAAAAATATACCTATTTTTATTTAAGGTTACAGAGAAAAAAAACGGTGGGACCAGTCGCTGTTAAATTAGCTTAATTGTAAAGAGTTCTTTAATTGCCCGTTAATGGTTGGTGATTTAGCCATTGTCCTCCCTGGCGCTTGCCCCGGAGCTACACCTGGACACGCAGCCCAGGAGAATAGGAGAGGCCTGGGACCACGTACGCAGATGAGAAATGCACCGCTCCAAAATTTTCCCGTTTTCTTGGAAAACCCCTAAAAACAACGAACCAATATAGAATTAGGGGACCCTAGGTGATGTCTAAGGATGGGCGTGAAGTCCAGTGCCTGCTTGGATCCTTTTTGCTTCACACCCTGACCTCAAGGATGTTCACTAAGGAGGGCACCCGAAGTGTTGGACCGAAAAGGAGGAATCTGCCAATCTCCCGTGAGGACTCAGTCCCCAGCTCTGCCTGCAGACCAGCGGACAGAGCTGCATCACCCTCCTCCTCCGTGCCACTCTTGGGGACAGCGGCGGCGTGGGCGCGACCCGTCGATTTCTCCCCACCTGAGCTGAATCTCTTTAATAAAGGCATTAAAAAGGAGAAAGATCTCCTGCCCTATTTATGTCACCATAGAGGTATATCAGAGGTCTTTTCAAGTGCAAAGACCTTATCTCCAGAGAAATGAGCTCCTTTCTTGTCTGCAGACGCCTCACTCCTTGTCCATGATGAAATGGCAGGCTCTCCAGTCTTCTTGGGCTGAAAGGGTTGGTCTTTGCCCTCCAGGACCTGGCAGCTTGGCATGAAAAAGGCAAATATTCTATCTTTAAACAAATGTTACAATTCAAATGAATACACCTGCCAGTGTCTGGAAATGGATCAGTTCAGCAGTAGTAAATATTAGATAGGTATAGAGATATGTCAACCGTATGCCTTATAGTCAGTACTAGAAAATTGCAAACAAAAAGTTTATACTTTTATCTGATGGCCCCAAACAGTCTTTTTCATGAAGTTGTCTCAGGCCTGAATTGTCTTTTGGTAGAGATTAGCAACAGGCCATTTGGGAAGCTGCCATGGCTGGGGAGGAAATCCAGCAGCTCACCGATCAAGCAGCAACAACCATCTGCACAGTTGTGCAGAAACCAGCAGATGGCACAAAACCTTAAATTTACTTTGGCCAGCAGATCATTGTGTGTTAAAATCCCACTGGAGGAGATATTTTAGCCAGCTCTGCATTCACCCTGTTCTACCAAAGCAGCAAGATATGGAAGCGTTTGGAAGAGAGGCTGGAACTTAATTTTTCTGGCAAGCTCTTGTCAAGACTCTGAGAAAACCATTCCTTCCAGGCTGACTGCCCATTATGACAGAGTGGTTGAGGCTTCTTGACTTCTCTTGCTTTGAGCAGCCTCTCTGTTTCACTTAAAAACAGTGTGAAAAGTGTGTGCCTTTTTCTGAGATATGTTGTGTGCACAAGATGTGAGGCCCTGCTCTGCCAATTGTCAGTCAATACATTCAGCAAAAATTACACTGTCATTTTTCAGAAGAGAAAGGTGTATCTCAGCTCCTGTCATTTAAAACTGTGAGGTATTTGAATATTGCCTTCAAAGTCCTAAGGCAGTGATTAATGATGCCTTTTTAACCTAATTAGATAACACACCCAAGAATCTTACCCTTGAACCACAGAACAACGAACTTCAAACTATTTCCTCTTGATCTGTATTGCACCACTCACTTGGAAAAGATCCACATTTCTGAGCAGAAGTCACAGAAACTGAAAACCTCTATGTCTGCAGCCTAAATGTGGTGTCCCACTGAGGGGAAGCCTTATTTCTCCTGCATCCTGCCCCTACAAAGGAGTGGAGCAGACTATCACTGCCCTCTCAGCCCTTGGCAAACCTGGGACTGGGACGTGCATTCTCCAGCAATGCAGGCACTGCCGTGTGACAGCCCCGAAAAATAGCCCCTCGTCAGCAGCACGAATTAGATTGAAAGTGGGAGGTTCAAGTGCCCACAAGTCATGGTGCAATAATCACTGCAGAAGCTGTCAGGGGCGACTCAGAATGTACTTGCCTGTAGCTGTTCTCCAGTGCCCTGGCAAACAAGCCCACAATTTGATCACCCGCTGGACAGCAGGGAACTTCGTGCCTGTTGCAGGAGCATATTTAGAGCTCTCATCCTGTGGCATCGGCTGCTGAGCTAGCAGCACAATTACTAAATCTGAGATAGCAGTGCAATTGCAGCAATTCCCAGACAGTTTACCCAATGCTTATTCCAATAATAAGGCAAAAGGAGGATCTGCTGGGTGCAGGAAATCTGAAACTGCTGGTGATGTATTTTAAAGGATAGGGAAGAAGATAAGAACCATTTCATCTGCATACCTGTTTAGCTGCATTTCATTAAAATTACCAGTTACTCTTATGCTGAGTTCAGTACACTGAACAGTCAGGCCATCTCTTCTACTAAAAACCAGACAGTTTTGGTGAGCAAGTCTGGAGCAGGCTCTTGGGTTTCTTCTTTGACAACCAAACACATCTTTTGGCATCTTTGTTTTATAAAATCTGTTTCGTGTTACATCAAATTCAACAAACTCAGGAATATGTTTCAATGCTTTTATTCCTCGCTTTTTTTGCCCCTATGCCCAGTACAAATGTCCATAACACTGCAAAAAATGAAGGCAAATTTGATTTTGTTTTCTTCTTGCTCTAAACAGCAAATAATATAGTGACAGATGTTATGCTCACCAACCAAAATCTTGTGCTGTGATTAGCTATTATTAGCATGTGTCTAATCCCCAGGAGATTAAGTGGTTCATCTAAGCATGGTTTCAAGTGTCACCTATGTCTCACATGGACATAAACTAATCTCTTTTGTTGGAACCAGATGAAGTGGTAAGTGTTTGGAATCCTTCTAATTTACAGAAAACACTGCAGTTTGTTCTCTGTCAAATCCCCATGTCAGGTTGAAAGAGCGTATTTTATATTCTGTGTCAGTCCCTTTAAAACCTAATGGGCATCTAGCTCTGAAGTGCAGTTGAAGAAGTTACTTTTTATGTGACTCTTTAAGTGGCCTAGCAGTTACCATGAGCTCATTCCTGTGTGGAGTTGCCCAGGCTGCCTCTAAAGATACGCAGATGGCATGAACGGGACAGGTTCAGTCACTGCGCTGCGTGAAAAGTACAGCTGCCTCCCTCCAATGTGGAAAAGGAGGCTGCACAAAGGCCAAATCAAAGTTGCCTCTGGCAGCAAGCAAGGACAGCTTTTTCCAGGCAATGGGCAGCCCTAGACAAGCTGCCTGGAAAACAACAGAGTTCACACCAGCTACAGGCAGAGTTGTGTGCTTCTATTCAAGAAGTCCTGGGCAAGAGGCAATAAGTGATCACTGGAGCAAGCCTGAAACATCCAGAAGGCTTTAGCCTCACTCTGGAAGTCCAGACTGTTGGATCAGAATCAAAAGCTTCAGGACTTCCTGGGCTGACTCCAAAGGAATTATAGGGTTGTCCCTGGTGGTTATGTCCAAGGCTCCCCACCACTCAGCACACAGTGTGAGGAATAACTGCTAGTACCATCAACTCCTACTTGAATGTCTGAAGTCTTAGATCTCCCACATGAGCCTGGGAAAAAGAGTACAGGAGCAACCTTTGCAGTTAGGGAAATTATTTGGGCACTTGAGAATGGCAGGCATGGTTTGCTGCCAAAAGTACTCTTCTAGTAATCTCTGCCATGAAAGGCTACCAGAAGAAATATTTTGGGAAGGAGAGAGTTGTAGTATTTATGTAACTGGAAGTGTTGACAAAATTATCTAGGAAGAATTTACATGAAATTGTTTCATTGAACAGGAGAACTGAGGACTGATATGAACATGAAGGCTAAACTGCATTTTTGTACTTTTTTATCCCCTCCCCGGTGTAGGTAATGCATAATGGTCTTCCTACTCTTGAAAGGATCACCTTAATTTGATGATGCAGGTATGAGAAAACTAATTATGTACCTGTTCCATGCAAGTTGTCAAAACACGTGCCTATGCAGATGCATGTGTACAGCCCAAGTGTTTCTCTAACTAATGCTCTGTGCTTATTCTCCTAACATGTGCTAGAGGCAGAAAGACTTCAATGAGACAAAGCACTGGTACAATCAAATCATCAGATTTATTAGCTTTCTGGGCAGCTTTTTCCATTATGTAAAAGCTGTGTTTGTATTAGTATAGCAGTCAGACCCACCAGTGTGAGGATTACAGTTGGTTTTTACATAATGGATTATCCAAGATTAAGTGTTTTATTCAGGCACACGAGCAAAAATAACCAATTAGTGACTTTGCAGATTCCTTATTTAAAGGGAGCTGGAGGGCAATTGACACAAAACCCTCCTGCTACCTGCAGTTCAAAGATTGAAGCAGAGTAGTCTCAAGGATCTCCAACATCTCTACTCAGCAGGTAGGTCTCTCTTCAGCAGAGGTGGATCAGACTGGCATATCTTGCAGCAGGGAAATGCAGCTTAGGTGGCAGCACCAAGGAACTGTAGTGTAGCTGCATGGGTGTTTGGGCTCTGGGTTGGTAGCTCAGCTTGGATGGTGCTGACAAGTGTTAGATAACTGTTTTATCTTAGCATCAGGACAGGTATTCAGTGTCAAATGCTCTGCAAGGATATATCATGAAGGTTCTCTCTTCCTGAAGTCTGAGAAATATGCTGGGATATGGATGAGTGGGATACTCAAGGAGAAAAACAGCCATGGGCACCTAGTTGTTGTGATGCAATGACAGATCAAGCCTCTAGAAAATTAATATTATTTGTCATGTCATGAAGGAATGATCAGAGGGCAGCCAATACCAAGGTGTATTATGCCATTAGAATGGGCACCTAGGAAAGGCCTGTTTTGGCGAGCAGAAGTGGTTGTAAAGAAGACAGCTTTGCTGGCTTGAAAGCAAAGTGGACACTCACTGTGAAATAATTAGAAACAACATCTTTACAATATACAGTGCTTTACCAGAACTCATCAGAACTTTTTTCTTCCTGTGAAAACAAAATTCAAAACATTTCAGTTTTTTACCAATTCTTACTGACCTTATCCATAGTCTGGCTTGATTTATAATACAAAAATAGAATGAATTGCATTACCACTAATGGCAAGCAAAATACTCCTCCAAAGTAATTGCCATTGATGGTCAGTTTTGGCTGAATTTAGGCACCACAATGACTCAATATCAGTGGAAGAGCTGGTTATCTACTTAGTATGGAAAGAAACTAGTGTTAAAGTGATGGAAATGCATCTGTAGCACTAGCTACCTCCATCTACTGCATGAAATAAACTCCCATGTTTGCTTTTGTCTTGCAGAATGAAATACGCACAGTATGTTTTCCTGGCCTCGGTCTTCTACACTGTTGAATATAGCCTAGCTCAGACCTGTGCAGTGGAGTCTTTCTCTGTGAAAGACAATTTTGATCCAAAAAGGGTAATTACAGTTACTTCAATAGTACATGTGAAGAAGATTTACATATAAAATGTTTTTCCAGATTATGTGCTTTGTTCATCTAAAGGGGTTCTTCACCAAAAAGCTAACTTCTTTCATATTCTGTGTTGCTGATGCTGTTCCTGTAGTTTTCTCAGTACTGTTTAACCTTCTGAACATTACAGTAAAACTGGCCTTGAAAGCTAGGGATGTTACTAGAGTTCATAATCTGTGACCTTGGCAGAACTTTGAGCTTCAAGCAGTTCCGTGAAAGGAACAATTTAGATCCACATCAGAGAGGAAGCTCAAGCCCAAGCCCTAGGGTACTTGCACCCACCACTAGTCATTCTTGGGAGTTATAGCAAATGGAAACTTTACCTAGTCTGGTATGCTGAACACTGACTCCTGTTTAAACCCATCATTTGGGCTTCTGAGGAGAAAATGAGGGCTAACCTGCTGTTGGAAAGGTCCAGTGTCAGTATTTATGTTAACTAATGGTCAGCAAACACCACAATTCCAGGGGTAGCTGGGAGGTGGCGAGCACTTTGTCTATACAAGACTAGCTTTGCTTTGTAAGAAATCACATCCAGGGAGAGCTTTGGGAATATCCTAGTTTGAAAAAGTCAAAGCTTTTGCTTGGACTCCTGTATTTGGGAATCACGGCCTTGCAGGCTTAAGCACATAACTTGCCTAACAGATGTCATTAGCTTCACTGTAGAATCAACTTTAACACAGCTAGCTCTGGTCTTCTCAGCATTTTTACCGATAATGTTAACTTTTAAGGGTCTTCCTCTCTGTCAATCACCTATTAAGATCTTGTTTTCATTTTACTAGATATTTCTTGTACAATTTCAGGGGCCCATTTTTTGCATGGATGTATTCTTTCCCTTAATCTCACTCCATTTTTCTCTGCTATTACTCTCCCCAAAACACCTTCTCCTTGTTTTGAGCATGTAGTCATCACTTTCTTCTTTGCTGGGTGGACCCTTTTCCTCATCAGAGATCAACTGTGGCCCGTGGCAGCCACAAAGATTCTCTCCAGCCAGCTTGCTACAGTCTTTGTACCTGCAATTTGATATTATTGAACGTGGTATGGTATTCCATGGAAGAGAAGGGGCTTGAACAGGAACAGGGAAGAACCAGTCTGACTCAGAAGATGTGTTAGGATGGGAGGTGCTTTTGGTGAATGTCTCACTTCACAAGGACTGCGCACACAGAGCAGTGCAGAGCTGCTAGACCCACTTCTTCTGGCACAGAGGCAAGGGTTCATCAGGCAGCACTGCAGCATCTGTGTGCTACATTCCCTCCCAAACTCAGACTGGCATTTATCAGGCAGTGGGGAATTAGAAAGGCACTTCGATCACAAAATTGTTTTTGTGCTAATCTTGCCATGGTGGCTAATGCAGATATCAATACACTTTCATGACAGTATGCAGGGAAATGGTATGCCCTGGCCAAGAAGGATCCAGAAGGCCTTTTCCTTCAGGACAACATCTCTGCTGAATACACTGTGGAGGAAGACGGCACAATGACGGCGTCCTCCAAAGGCCGAGTGAAGCTTTTTGGGTGAGCTCTTTTGACTTTCAGCTCTAGCTGCTGTCATGAGGTACTGGATGAGGGGGGCATGGATGATGACCTACCCTGAACACACAACATGGCTGGGGAAAAGCCTTCATCAAAAAGGGAAGCTTAGCCAAAGTATTAGATTAGAAGCTAGAGGTTAGACACCTTTGAGCCCTGAGACTCTTCACAGCCTGGGTCAGGTTTGGGTCTGTCACAAAACTACTGCAAAAAGTTAACAATTAAGTCAAATCTTGATTGATGGAATGGTTAGATAAATTAATTGCAATCAAGTAAAGGAGCTAATGAAGGCTGTCAAGATCCAAGATTTCTGAGGAAAACCTATGGTTAACTCTTAGATGTAATTGCAATGCCTGAATGGACAGATGGCAGGAAGCTTAAGAGTTTTGCCTGTTGGTCATGATTACTACAAGGAATTACAGCATGTAAAGAGATTAAATAGCTTTCTGACTGCAAAAGAGACAATCTGTGGCTTCCAATATGCTAGCAGTAGCAGGTGGCTATGAACCTTGAACACCTTAACGGTGCAGCACTCCAAGAAAATTTGGGAATGGGCAAATGAGGTTTTGCAGGCATGCCATGCTGCGCAAGGGGGAAGATGCCTGAAAGGACTCTTAAGAAAACAAGTGGGGTATCAAGGCTGCTGCAAATTTTATTTCTGCAAAGGTAGGATAAGAGGAAGTCCACCCTGAGCAAGGAAGGGAATGAAGACCCTTCCACTGTCTCACTAATCCAGGTAATGCTTGACAAATGGTGTTGAAATGTGGATGGCATTCAAAGAAAACAGATACCAAACAGAGAAGGGCATTGCAACAAATGGACACCCACAGGCTTCTCAAAGGCTCTGTGACAGCTTTTCACCAGCTTGGCAGAGGAGCTGTAACTATTACTTTGCGTGTAACAAACATTCCTGTATCCATATTGCCAGGAAGGGATAGACAGGGGAGAGCCAACTCTCTGCCTCTTCCTGGGGCACAGCTACTGACCCCAGAAGAGCCCAAATGCAGATGAGCTCACTCTGCAGACTGCTAGCAGGGAGCCAAGAAACAATGTTCATTATTGTGCTTGGTGGCTGTCTGCTTGTACAGAAATGGGTGGCAAGAAGCTTACTGAACTGAAGGAGGGTCAGGGCACTGCCCCATAGCTGTACAGCAGAGTTGGGGACAAAAGGCCATGCCCATGCCTGAGGCAGCTGTGCCCAAGCCCTGAGTGAAGGACACCCATTTGAAGTTCTCATGCTGCCAGGTTTTAGCTTGATTCTTACGGATCTCGTTGCAGTTTCTGGGTGATCTGTGCTGACATGGCTGCTCAGTACACGGTACCTGACCCAACCACTCCAGCGAAAATGTATATGACCTACCAGGGACTGGCCAGCTACCTCTCCAGTGGTGGTGAGTTAAATTCCCCAGCCCCTTGATGCTTGTCAATTGCTTATAGCTGTCCAGATGTGCGTTTCCACATATAAGCAGGAAAAACAGCTCAGCTCAGATTGCTCCAAGTTCCCCTGAAATACCCTTTTGGAGGGGGCATGCTTTATCCAAGCAGTTCATTTTATCTCCACAGAAAGGGCAGCATCCAGAGACTCCCCACAAATCCTTCTTATACATGATATATATTAACAAGGAGGTTTACAGGCACCAGGCCACACACAATGGGCTCTGTACAGCCAATTGTGGTGTTTAACCTAGGGAAGCCATAGTTCCTGGGGCCCACTGCGGGCATTATGGAAGTGCTGAGGTCAGTCGCCCCTGTACTCATAGCTAAACAGAGGAGACATGTAGACTCATACTGCACCCCAGCAACAAGACACATTTCTCCTCGGATAGACACAGCTGGACTCAAAGAAATTGAGATGTTAACTCAAGTGCACCTTTCAGAAACTGCTCATGCTGTATCTTACACACCCTTCAAAGCCCATCCTTTGTGTCCAAGCCTCCCATAGGTGCAGTTCCTCAGCTGTGGAACTTGGGGAGGACTTTTAAGGTGTAAGAAAGAAGTATATTCCCTTAGTACTGGCAGATGAGCCACACTAAAAAGAACTAAGTAGAGCAAGGCTGGAAAACAGGAGGAATGTTCTACTGAGGCTTCTTGTATGGAAAATGTAATCTATACTCTATGTCCTTCCTTCCACCATGCTTGAGCAAGCAACATAAAGAGGTATTTTGTCATTGAAAACCTAGAAAGTCCTAGTCCTCCTAATACTTTTAGCCTAAGAAATAAAAGGTGAAAATGCACTGAGCATTGTGGGGAAAATTATTGTCTCAAGATGCCCTGTGTTTGTCCCAGTTCTTCCCCTCATGGTATGGAGATAAGCTGGATGTGTGACATGATTATAGATCCTTTGGAAAGCTATTCCCGCCACGTGAAGTTTGCCACCTCCCTGCTGAAGGATCCACCTCTGCTCTGTTGTGCCCGCTGTGACAAGCCTGTGTGTTCTGTTGTTTCAGGGGATAACTACTGGGTGATTGACACTGACTATGATAACTATGCCATCACCTACGCCTGCCGCAGCCTGAAGGAGGATGGCTCCTGTGATGATGGCTACTCCCTGATCTTCTCGCGCAACCCCCGCGGCCTCCCCCCAGCCATCCAGCGCATTGTGCGCCAAAAGCAGGAGGAAATCTGCATGTCTGGACAGTTCCAGCCTGTGCTCCAGTCAGGTACTTCAGGCTAATTATAAAACTTACTGAGTTGCACAGCAGGTGATTACATTTGCTGTTAATGTGACAGAACTACAGCAAAGGTAGCTGTTCTTTTTTAGCAACCTTTTCCTCATGTTAGAGCTAATAGGAAAAGAGCTGCAAAGGGAAATCCAAACAAGAACACGAGCCTGCTACAGGCTGGTTCTGCAGCCTTGAGATTGCTACTTACTGGCATCCTCTGTGTTGAACCTGGTACACTACCAGATGAAGATCAGCCTTGTTACTGTAGTAGACAGTCCAGGGATGGATGCAACAAGCTGGTGTTTCTGCACTTGGAAATGCTTGTCTTGGCCACTTGCATAACAGCATCTTACCTTGGGTCCATGCAGTATCCTCCAGGAAAAGATGAAAAGGTGCCTCCAGGAAGGACCACTCTCACACTCCGTTCCATCACGACTTGTGTCCTGTATGGTCTGAGTACAGGGATGAGGGACTCTAAGCAGCATGTCTGACTGTGCCAGCTGGCAGTGGGAGTCAGCAGTTGCTCCACATACATGCAAACAGACCATGTCTAAAGCCCATTTTCAGAACAGTTTTCTGGAGGTACAGGAGTTGATCTAGTTCAAATGTTGCCCATGAAATAGGCAGACACATTTTTAGGGCTCTGCAGAAGGCAGAAATTCTTCTTTGTTGGCAGCTGAGCACTCACACTCTTCACAACCTCACTACCTGGACTGGAAGTTGAACCTTTACTAAGCCATGTAACACATGTTCTGCACTGTGGGACAAGGAATGGCAGCTAAAACCTCCTGAACAGCACTGCTGTCAGCCAGTGCTCCACTACAGAGCAGGTACTGGCATCAACCAAGGCCATGGGCACGGTGTGGGCATCCCTGCCCCATCCCACTCTGGACTGCTCCCTGTAGCAGAGGGAAGGCAGCTGGTTTGCAGGGACATGGCTGGGTCCTCAGGAAAGCTGAAATCCCATGGCTAGCTAGGAAAGGCTGCCTGTGTCTGTGCCAATAGACAGAGAGAAATGCAAACAGCAACTTTTGCACCCTGCATCCTAGTCTTGTACTGTGATTCAGAAGTATCCTAGGAAGGTTGTAGTTATAGCTTCCAGTGCAGACCTAATGGCTGTTAATGCACTTTGCAAATTTACTTACACAGACTAAAGTTTACTTTTCTTTCTTTCCAGGGGCCTGCTAAAAGTACGCTTCTGATCCTATCCTTAAGCACAGAAGCCAGACCTCTTGGTCTTGAAGTTGCCACTCAACTAATAATAAAAAAAAAATCATAGTATGGAATAGTGTGTTTTTCCTGAAAAACACATGAAAATATTGGGGGATCTTTAAACAGTGTGCAATATAATAGTGATATTTGAATTTTCAAGGGAATACCTAATGTGGCATTTGTCAATAAATGTTTTTGAAAAAAAGGCACCTCTGAAACTGGTTTTTATTGCCTATTGTCCTGTCTGTTGGGGTGCAGAAGCACAGAGGATGCTCACTGAGGAGCAGTGAGAGAGCAGCCAAGAGTGCTCCCAGCACAGTTGGGGCAGCATCACTCCCCAGCACTGAACAGGGTGGGCAGGGCAAGGATGGTGAGAGGGGCACACCCCCTGGCAGGGCTGATTGTCAGACAGCAGCATAGTGACGGTAAGTCTGGGATTCCCCTAGAAAGTCCAGCCAGCAAGGGCAGCAAGGCACAGGACAGTATGCAGGCACATCAGTGAGACGGCTCCAGGACTCAAGAGAATGTCTGAGGCAGAGCTACCTGCAGCAAAGTTCCCAAGGGGAGAACCACAAATGCAATAAAACAGATGCTATTTCCAATAACACTGGACAATGCTTTAAATAAGCAGGTGCTTGCATTTCTAATGGCATTAACAGTAATTTGCTCCTCTCTGCCTTCATAATCCAGGTTTTGGTATCTGAAAGGTATAGAACTGAAAGATATAGAATAGAACTGGGTTTAAGGCAAAGAATTTCACAGAGAAAACCAAAAGAAGAGTACCTGGAAATCTCCATGTAGAAAAATGGAGTCAGCATTATTGACATGTATTTTCCACTGCTTTTAGTAAAATCACATTCACCTTGTGTTTCCAAATAATAAAAATACCAGTCTAGAAGACCCCAGTATCCTGCTGAACCCTGCAGTTTATCAACTACACAACTTTTTACAAGCTATAATTACCAAACACAGAGGTAAGACCAAACTGAACAGCCCCTACTCCTGAGGGCTCCAAAAGGTGTGTGGAACAAAGCTGATCTTGACTGAAGACCTTCAGAGCACTACACTGTTAAACAGCTTCTACAAGATGCTTGCACAATCTTATCCACAGTAACCAGAAAGAGTATAGAAACCAAAGGCCAGAGACACTCTCCAGGACCAGAGACATTATCCCAGGGATGCAGTGAAGTCTCTCAAACTTGTATTTCCCAGGATTTCCTGGCAATATTCGTAAGGCTCTCAACCTGCTTGAACAAATGTGTCCTTGCTCTTCAGGTCTAGGGAAAGCTACCCTGACAGAGAACAAGATTGGGAGCTACCACCTAAAGCTAAGGACAGCAACAGAGGAACACTAGCAGGCAATGCTAACAAAACCCCACACAGACAGAGAGCTACACAGTGTTGAAAAAATATCGGCCTTTTCTGCTGGACTAAGTGCAAGGTCAGTGCACTGATTGAATGTTCTCCACTTCCACCCTTCTCCCAGCAGGAAGTATTGGGGTGGAATCTGTGACCTTAGGACTTGTGTAACAACTGATTAGACAGCACTAACCCTTAGCTGAAGGACCATAGCCTTTGGCCAAAACTGTCAGACCAATACTACCAGTCTTAGAGAAGTGGGATTTTTAATGTCTGTGGTTATACTAACTGTATAACCACAGCAGATGAGAGTTGTGGCAAGAAGATACAATCAATATGCAGGACCCACTGCATCCTTATTGTGTTTGGTGTAGTCTGTCTAGACAAGATAGGCAGTGAAATTCCTCCTTAGTCATATGAGGCAAAGCCTGCAGGATCATAGAAACACAGAGGTGATTCTGGTTGAACACACCATAGAGTTCACGTGCCCCAGGAATTGTACTTGGGGGAGCATGTCTCCATCAGGACCACGAGCAAGTCCTCATTGTATGATGTGGTAAGTTAAGGAACAGATGGTAGTTACACCATACATATTTCTTTCTGGTGATGCAGGAAATGTGAAAGACATGGTAGGCTAGGGCAGGCAGTCATGAGAGTATGCTGATGAGACTTACACTTCTCTTGAAATTCTGTTGAGTTCAACATGAAACATCACAAGTATATCTAGAGGCAGACATCTTCTGTCTGCTGTTTGAGTTGGTTGATGAAAAGCAGTCTATTATTCCTGAGTTTTAAGTATGTGTATAGGTCCCAAGTCATAATCTCTGTCCTGCACAAACTTTCCACTAACAAGACAAAATAAAAAAATTGTTTATTCATTAAAAGGACTGTTGTTTTGTCCTCAGAAGGTCCTTTAGTGCTGGCAGAAAGACTATGACTGCACAACAGCAGGAGGGACCCTGCAAGGATATTGTCCTTCACACACCAGTGAACCTCCTCCAGCAAGGACACAGCAAGTCCTGAGATCAGACACTACAATACCACCTTCAAATTGACCAGTTTTCTCTGGGTTGTAGTAACTGAAGCAATCTGTGCATTTGAGTTTCTACTTCAGCCTTGATTTTTTTTTTATGCTTCAGTTATATGTAATGCTGGAATTTCCACAAGTCGAGCTATTTACCCCTTGTGCTGGTAGCCGCAGCAAGCAGCTGCATGGTACTTGGTTGCCGGCTGGAGTTAAAACATGACAGTCCTTGAGAATAGTCTTTACTTTGCAAGATTAAGTTGAGCTGTAAGCAGTTTCTACAACACAATGATCAGATCTTGTTTTTACAGGGTTCATGTGAAAGACTAATAACCAGTTTTATTTGCTCTCACAAAAGATGGTAACAAATGTAGCATATACACAATTAAACAATGTAAAATACTCAGTTGAAAGGTTCTTTCAGTTGCAAAATGGTTATATTAGCCTCACAAGCTTTTGCTTGAAGCGCAGGCAAACAATCCCCTGTTGCAGTTGCAGTTACATATATTTATTTGGATTAATGAACAGCAAAAGACATACATGAGCACTCTGCAGCCTTGCTTTGGTTATGATACTACAGAACTACTAAGCACCTGCTATCACACCTGGTGCTATGGATACTTGGCACTTCTGAAAACTCTAACTGTAATGGGGGCTGATCACTACATGTAACAGAGGAGATTAGTTAAACATGCAATTTTGGAAACACTATCAGAGTCAGCAACAGATGGTTACAGAAATCTCAAGTTTCAAGTACTAAATAGCGTTTTTCTGTAGACATTAAATGATAAAAAAAGAAAACGCCATTTCAAAAATTTTTATAATTTGTTAGAAATAAACTCATACCTGGAAATACCAACTTCACTTCTCTCTGTAAAACATGCTCATTTCTTAAAGGAATGAGTTTATATCATAGCAGCAAAGAAGATTTTCAGAAGAAATCTTCTATTTTTCATGGTTTGCACATCTATATATTTTCATCCCTGCATAACAAAATCAATACTATTCACTACAGCTATGTTTCTTCTTTTTTTTTTTTTTTTTTAATACACCTGTAACTAGTACATAGTCCTTGGTTTGATAAAGACTGCTATATTCTGATTGCCAGGGTGAGAACATTTTAAAGCAGAAGGGCTACTCAGGTAGGACATCCTAACACACTAAACTGTCCACTCAAGTTCCTACATCTTCCCTTGCTCCAGACACACTAAAATCTCGCAAGACCCTATACTTAGTATTTCTCTAAATAATTTTATTTGTTTTTCCACCTCATACTAGCAAAACAACATGCTAACCGCTAGATTTTACTTAACTGTGTACACTGGTTCTTCACTCAGGGGCAATTATCACAAGTTTAAAATTTATTTTTACTACCTCCATCCAAGCAGAATGTCTCAGTAACTTTCCTTAAATTGAGAGGGTTTTCAATTCAGTAGAACCCATGGTCCTTTTCTGTTCTGCCTGTACGGACAAGGAATTGGAGGACTAGGATGTGACAAGTGCCCCTTACTAAACCTCAAATAAGGCAAGAAATATTTCATCTGAATTCTGTGATAGAATAAATCTTTTAAGGCTAATTTTGAGTAAAAGCACTTGAACAAGTAACCAGCAAGTAAGGAGATACAAGGCCACATTTCACATGCACTGACTTTTTGCATGTTTCTTTTCTGTGCTGTAAGAGTTGAGGGTATTTGAGGTAGTTCAGCTCTCTCCTACTGTGCAAACTTGGGCACTTCTTTTTTTCTGAGACCTGAATGTTTCATCAAATATGCAGTTTTTGTTGTTATGTTGGTGAGGTGGCTGATGTCAGCAAAGAGAGCAGTAGGGGATTGTTTGTGTGACAAAGTCACTCCTCTTATGGAAAACACTCCAGCTGTTTTCACTGGCATTATCCTTCTCTCTGCAAGCCTGTTAAAAGGCACAGCTCAAACTGTGCCAGTTGTGAAAAGGGAAGAAAAAAGCAGCACCCCTGCAATTTCAGGGAACTTTGCTGTTTACATAAAGTGTTTGGCATCTGCAAGCACAGCCAGTGGTGATCTGTAGCCTGTGATCTAGGACTATCACACGCTTGTGCACATGCTTTGCAAAGCACAGGAGCTCAAACTGTTCTTTGTTAATTTCCTAAGTGTCCTAAGTAGTAGCCCTGCTACATTTAAGAGTGTGCTGTCCTTTCAGATGAAAACACAGAAGGCTCTAACTAGTGTTTCACCTTTCCCCTGGCCATGCAGAGCTGAGAGACCACTTACAGCCTGTGAGGGGAGGTGTTAGCTGTAAGGGCTGAAGGAAACCAGGCTAGGTGACAGCAATGGAGAGAAAGAGGGACTTTCAGGGTTAGAGCCTCTATCACAAAGAGGCAGTAGCTGATGGCCAAAGTGCAAACAGGTGACTTGGGCAAAAGTACAAAAGAGAAAAGGCACGGAAGTCTGGAGACTAGAGTTTTCTGTGCCTTCTCCCCTCTGAGAATGAGCTGATACCCCTGTCTCTGCCTATGAGAAACAGCTCTGGCATCTGTGTAATGGTCACAAATATTGAGAGAGCTGGGTGGAAACCCCTCTGTGAGAGAGTGAAAAACCTCATAAAACTGAAGACACGGAAGCATTCTGAAATAAACCACTGTAACTAACCAACCAAAAGAACTAAGGGATCCTTTACTTCATGCTCTGAATGTGTCTTGTTGCTGTGCACTTTTCCATCAAATCATTAAGTCAAGACAGGCTGGCAGCTAAGGCAGCCAGTTCACTCTCAGAAAGGTCCTCCATGTGCCTTTGCTACCATCCTCACCCACACAGTGAAGCCATGTTCTGTTCCTGCTACAGTT